CAACTTTTTCTTGGCTTTCATACGAGGATTACAAGAAGTCGATACAATTATTTTTTAATACAAAAAATTGGATATTAAAAAATAAATAAATTACATTTTTGTTTAAAATTCAGTACTGATTGTTTTTTTAATTTTTTTTATTGAAAACTGTTCTTCAAATACTTAAGTAAAACTTGTAAAAATTTTAGAATGGGTAGTTCAATATTACGCTTGTAATCAAATTTTAAACAACTGCGAAAGCGCTAAAAACGCGCTCTCTCCTTGGCGTTCACCATCTATCTACCATGATGCAATAATACAAGGTGGTATCAGTTGTGACAGCTCGACTTGACACTGCCTTAGCTCAGTAGAATAAGAAGAAAAACAGGAAGAAATTAATCCCCATTTGAGGGAAAAATATAAAATTTCATGTTTTCTTCTAAACAAAATTTGCTTTTTTATAGTATATTCGTAATGAAATGATATAAAATAAGATAAAATACCTTTCTAAGGAAACAAAATGTGTATACTGAGAAAAAATAAAAAAACATTCAATTATATTATTAGGCAAAGAATTGATAAAGAAGTAACACTGTTTCACCTAAGGCAGTCAATATGGCGGAATTAGAGCGAGAAGCTGCCAACTGATAACACCTTGTATTATTGCATCATGTCTATCTACATCAGTGGTCAGGGCCAGGGTGGGCAAAAACTCGGAGTTTGAGCGAGCGAGCGAGCAAACTCCTACTCAATGCCTCGCCGACAACGAGGCGGTCGCAGCTCGTACTCGTAGCAGCAATGAGGCGAGGCACGAGAAGTTTGCCTCGCTCGCCAAACGAGCGAGCGCTGCTTGTTTCCTCGCGCTCCTATTAAACGAGCGAGGCTGTTGTGTGTTTCCTCGCTCGCAGTACGAGGCGAGTAGCTGTCTGCATACTCGCTCTGCTAGGTAAGACGAGTGAGCGAGGAGCGAGCGCTCCGAGTGCACTATACAACACATGCATTTTTGTGCATAAAAATGTGGGAATGTATGTCAATAGATTATGTACGAAAGTATGTTAATAATTGTATGTACATATGCATATAAATATGTGAATATTATATCGAGCCCTAACCGCCAAAATAACGTAAGCGACATTTTTTTTCAAAATTTTATTTTTGATGCAGAAATGTACCTAGATGCTCTAGGAATATTTCTGCATCAAAAAGAAAATTTTGAAAAAAATGTCGCTTACGTTATTTTGGCGGTTAGGGCTCGATATTAGGGCAGCTTTTAAAACAACAAATAAAATTTATTACATACGTAAGCACAGATTATGGAATGAGATATTTTTTAGAGTTATATACATACTTAACATGCATATTTATATATGTATGTATGTATGTATTTATGTATGTATGTACATATGCATGTATTTTGTCTTTACAGAGAAAAGTAAGTAACGAAGATAGTATAGATAATCGTTTGTGCCGCAGAAACAAAAAACAAGTAAGCACTTGTTAGCACCCCAAAATAGTTTGCTACTTGTAGCAGTTATGCTGTATACCTGAATGAAATATAATCCTTGGAGAAAAAATTTATTTGTGGCCTGTTGTTCAAGGACATATGTACATATGTATGTATGTATGTATGGATATGTGTTTGCGTAAACAAAGAATAGAGGCCGGTTCACATACAACTTTGGCGTTGCGTTGGCGTTGAATTTCAAAGCAGCCGTCCACCGTATATATGTACTTACCATTACGTTACTTCGTTTGCCTGCCTGAGTAAATTGTTTGCCTTTGATGTCTCGTTTTTTCCCCTTTGTCCACTCAGCTTTTACCTACTTCACATCGCCCCCGTTTGGTTTACCCGCTTTATATGCTCGCTCGTTTGCGTTTCCCGGATTTTCCCTACCCTCCGCCCATGGATGCTACCTAGTATGTATGCAGACATAGGCACCAAAATGGAAAAATATGAACATTCTACTTGAAATGTTTCCAAAATTATTAAAAAAACACAATTATGATATTTTTCGAGTGAGAATGATATATTTATGCTATAAAACTACACACCAAGCATTGCTCTACATATAAATGTGATTAAAAAGTTTAAAACTTTGTTGAAATTTTCAAATTTTTTTACAAATTATGACACTTGCTTGGACTTGTATGGTCTGTCTCTCATGTACACTTAGGTCTTTTTTATGCGGTAGATGCGTTCTTCAGAAAGCCGCATAAAAAAGTTCTTTAATTTCATACAAGAACAGGAGATGCGTTCCAGCATTTTCAAAACCCGCATAAATTCAGATACTTAAAAAAAAAAAAAACAATTTATTTCTTCACTTCTGTATTTTAACCAAAACAAAAAATATCATAAAAAATACATGAATTATGTAAGAAAAATTGATTGCAAAAAAGTAATAAAAACTCTCAAAGAAGCAAAATCGATACAGCGAAAAAAATGTTTGAAAACCCTCATAAATTCAAATCCGCATAAAAAAGAACCACATAAAAAGAGACCTAAGTGTATAAGTTGAAATTTTTTAAGCTATTGAAAATTAAAAAAACTATACCTACATATACTACGTTTATACGTTAGCTATTTGCAAATAAAAATAATTTGCAAATACCTAACTCACTGTTTATTCGATGGGAAAAATTCTTTTTTAATATTGCCTGATTATAAAAAGGCAATAATATGACAATCGAAAAAGAAAATAAAGTTAAAAATGGCAACGTCTTGATTATAAAAAGGCAATAAGATGACAATCGAAAAAGAAAATAAACCTAAGAATGGCGGCGTCTTGCGCTTATTTGCAAATAGTAGCACTAATCAATACTTATTTGCGTGATTTAGTTATTTGCAAATAAAAAGTTAACTCAGCGTTTATACGGCAAATTTTACCATTTTGCAAATTGTTATTTGCGAATAATACGTGCGTATAAGTACATAGTAATATATGTATATGTATGCACATATGAGCCTACCTAGTAGATAAAACTGGCAAAAATAGCACGCATCTATTCTTCTGTGCATGAAAATATATACATAAATAAATACATACATATGTGTATATATGTATGTATATACATATCTACATGTGTGCATACAATCGTTTGCTCTAAATTCTTAGTTGATGCAATTTTTATCCCATACATTTTTGCTGACCAAACAACCCGTTTGCCTGTCTAATCTGCTTGCCTCATTTCCCTCGCTCGTTTACTCGCCTCGCTCGTCTGCTGCTGCAAATGAGTGCCTCGCTCGCAACGCCCCTCTCGCGAGGGCAGAGCTAATGAGGCCCTCGTTTGCTTGCCGCTCTACTCTTGCGCCGCCCTCGTTTGCTTACTCGCTCGCTGGCTACTCATCGCGTGCGCTCGTACCTAACGAGTGCTCATTTGCAAACAGCCTCGCGTGTTCCTCGTGAGTTGCGCTAACTCAGAGCAAACTAACGAGCGAGCGAGGGGCCAAAATGAGGCAAATCCGAACCCTGGTCAGGGCTTCATACCACAATTGTGGAAGATCAACTCACACGTATTCTTACGCTCTATCGTCTAGTCCACAGTATAGACAGTAGCAGGGTTGCCACTGACGAAAAAAAATATTTACCATCCACTTGAAAAAAATCTACCAAATCTGGGAAATATCTACCAATAACTTTTTTTATACTTATTTTAACAAAAACCATAGTTTTGTTATTTTTTTATTTATTTTAATTGAAACTATAGTTTTTTTTTTGTTTTTTTTTAGTTATTCCAATAAGAATTGAAATTGTTTTTAAGGACTTTTTATTTAACTAGTTATACGGTATTTGAATTATATTATTTGTTGGCATATTCTCAGTTTCCTTCAACCAAAAGCGGAAGTGATGAAACCAAAGGCAACAATGAAACTTCATTATTTGAAAAATTTCAACTCGAGTTGTTATAGACAAATACTGTGACTTAAAAAAGTGATTTTTTATGTAATGTTCGCAATATTTTTCGAGTAAAATTTTTTTATTGCTATATTTTTATTGCTATAACTAAATCTAAAAAAAATCGGGGATTCAAACTATATACAACATATACAAAAATTCCAAAACATTTCGTCTAAATTTCGAATTTTTTAGAACAATTTAAGGTATGGAGTTTTAAAGCAAATACTATTTGAGTATAGCCAACAATGTGCTGCTTCAAATTCCTGTTA